ACAACCTACTGTTTGCAGATGCGGAGTTCAAGGCATTCAACCAGCAAGCAACAGCATATAATGAAGACTATGGCACAACTTCGCGCCGTGATTCGTCTCGCAGAGCCCTGAACTTCGCTGCGCCAACCGCCGAAAGAAGTAGTGCGATCGAACAGAGTTCGCCAAGAATTGGAGCAGCGTTCACTCCTGCTTGTCCTCTGGTCGACTGCACCTTCGATGATAATGTAGGCATACATATACTTAGTGTTTTTAAAGTAGGTGTATCGCTCATATAGACATTCTGCAACTATGTGACCAGCGCGACTACACTCAGTTCCGCTGTTAATGGATCACTCAAAGATTGGCAGATTTCGAGCGATGCAATTCTAAATTCACTTACTGGAATTCCTTATGATCTTTCCAAAAGTAAGGATTATAAGACGTCTGAAACAACAAATAACAAAATAATACGCTAATTAAGCTGGCTCTTATATCTACGCTGGAGGCACCTCAGTTTCATTTCTCGACACCTACATTTTATCAACCAAGCTGCCATTCGAAATAAAGGAACCCTCTCGTCTTGACTTTTTCGTCTACCAAGCAGGTAAGTCTATGAACACGAAGGGTTCATATTAAGGTTGAATCACGATTAGGCATTCCTGATCTTCTTATGAGAGTACACAAATTGCTTGTTTCGTATCATCATCAGGGATCAAAGGGAGACTGCAAGTATGTATAAACACGATCAACGAATGTGCCCTCAATATCAAAGGTGGAACAATTGATGTAAAGGCTCGGAGATGGAAAAACTATCATATACCGCTAACATCAAGCACGCATGTTGTAAGTAACATAACGCACGACTCAACGGCAATTAATAACTTCGAATGGAACTTTAGGTCCACTTCGTCGTAGACGGTTTGCAGGACAATTACGCAATTGGACTAGATCACATTCAACTTTTGAATAAATATGGCATGGCAGCCCAGCCGTGCAAATAGGTTTGGGAGATTCAATTCTTCAAATCATTGTAAAAATTTGAATAAAGATTCGAAAGTCATTCAACCCAATTGTGTTTACCTGAGACGCGGAATTTCCCTTGATCTAGCCTCCGAAAGCACCTCTGCGACATCAATCTTGATAGTCTTCTTAGTGATTCCAAGCAGGGACGATATTGGTAGATCATTCACCATGCGGAATGATCGTTGCCCATCGATTACTAGAGGTGCTACTGCTTCAATTCCATAACGGATAGAACCTTCCAGCATGCAAGTCTCTTCCAACCAGTACCGTTCCTTAAAATGTAGTTCAAGCCTGCCCAAATCAATGAGCACCGCGTCTAGCTTGTAAAAATAATTTGCTGAGAAACGAGAAAAATTGATACACTTATAAAAACCTTCCGATCTTTCAGTTCCAAATTAAAACAGAATAAGAATATCACGAATATGAGTTGTGGCTAATAGAAAGTATACAAACCTCCTTTGGGATACGAGCAAATTCATCGAAATTTCGTTTCTGCTCATCGGAAAATGATTCGGAATCAAAACAAGGCACCAGCACTTGAAAAGAGCGCTTGCTGTCTCCCAAAAAGTCCTAAAATGCATCATTTTTAGTATTGCGCCAAGAAGCAAATTCTAGCAGGTTATGCCATAATAGTCGTAAATTTTTTAATATTTCACTTTTCTTTTGAAAAAAATATGCGGTTTTCCCTACACTAGATTTTGAAAAGATTGCGA